GTATACCTTTAATTCCTTAGTGAAAGGGAATGGTAGCAGATCTTAACAAGTACCGCTCTAAAATGACACCATAGACATGCAGTTTCACTCTGTCTATCTGTGCTCTGCTTTATTCCCCTCCCACCACCACCTTTGGAGAGCTCAGCATAGGGAGGAGAAAAGCAAAAAAAATAAATAAATAAAAAATAAAAGAAGCGAAGCTTGGATCTAATACTCTTTGGTTATGTTGTCAGCATAACTAAAGTGAAGTCTTTATAAAGAGGAGGCTGAAAAGACCTATACCACTGAGGCACCTATTCCCAGGAGCCTCCAATCCACCCTACCACCCTCTCTTCCCCTCCCTCCCTCTCCCCCCCTCCGTTCCCTCACCACCACCACCACCACCACCACCAGGGATGGCAAGACCAGGAACTGATCTCCAATGGACTCCCAACTCAGAACCACATGACCATGATTCTTCCAGTCAAAAGAAAACAAGGACTCTGTGCTGATTGCTATAAAAGGCAGAACTTTCTGTCAAGAATGTTTTAGGATCCTCACCTGGGGATTCTACTGGTGAGGCCAAGGTCACCTGCTCCATGTCTCAGAAAAAAATCTACCACTGAGCCATTCTTCAGTGATTCTTCTTGTAGTTATAGGATGTTATAAAGAGGGGGAAAGGGAAGACAGCAGGGATCCAGTTCTGGAAGATCAAGTCTGGTTCACACCCCTTCTCCACAGCAAGTGCATAAATCTAAGGCTTGAGAAAAAAGTGCAGACTGACTTTCTGTTCCCTCTTCTTTGATATTCCATCTCCCCATTCCCTTTGCCACCCAACTGATGATCTTGTAGCCATTCTTTGGACCAATTTTTTTTAAAAAATACTCTTGGAACATTTTATTGGTGAGTAATATGTGTGTGTTGGTTTTTTTTAATGCTTGTGTCATAAGTGTGCAGCTCAATGAATTTTCACAAAGTGAGCACATCCATGTAACCAAAACTTATGACCAAGGTCAAGAAATAGAACATAAGGTCACAAGGGGCTCTCTGGGGTGATAAAAATGATCCATATCTTGATTATGGTGGTAAATACACAACTGTATGTATTTGTTAAAAATCTTTGGATTGTACACTTAAAATTGAATTCCATCATATGTTCATTTTACCTCAATACAAGATAAGTAAGACATTACCAGCACTCCTGGGCCCCCTTTCACTCAATACCTATTTCCCACAAAAGTATTACGATTTTTAAAAATATGTTTACATTGATTTCAGGGAAAGGAAAAGAGAGAGAGATAAAACACCAATGATGAGAGAGAACCATCCATCAGCTGCCTCCTGCACACCCTCTACTGAGGATCGAGCCTGCAACCCAGACATGTGCCCTGACTGGGAATCAAACAGTGACTTCCTGGTTCATGGGTCAACACTCAATCATTGAGCCACACTGGCTAGACAAAAGTATCATGATTTTTAGGCTAGGTTCTTTCTGCTTTATTTTGAATTTTAAGTTAATGGAGTCATACAACATATACTCCTTGAGGTCTGGCTTCTTTTGCTCAACATCACATTGTGTGGGTCTTCCATACCCGTTTGCAGATATAGGTCATTCAGCCTCTTCACTGTCCAGTATTGCACTTTTCTATTTAACTCTTCTAATAGGCAGGCATTTGGGTGGTTGCCATTTTGGAGCTTTTATACATGTGCTGCTGTGAACAGTCGAGGTGTCTTTTAGTGCCCATATACACACACCTCTACTGGAAGTGGAGTTAACAGGTCATAGGGCATGCACAACTTTAGTAGACACTGCTCAAAAATCTTCTAAAATTATTACATTGGTTGACATCTAGGAGTTTTTGAAGGTTCTGATTCTCTTAGTCTTCCCTAATCACTCTATTCTTTGATCTCTTCATTGTTTATATTTAAGCCACCACATGTGTACTGAGCACTTACTATGTGTGTGTCACCATTTACCCTGCTGGACACACAGAAAAGAATGAACAGAAACCCTTGTCACAAATGAATGGTTCATGGGGCTAACTAACTCCAATGACAATCATACAATGTGACAGCTAGCACTGGGTTAGATGAGGGTGTGAAGAATTACCACGGTTTTATTTAATAAACCTGAGTTGCTCCATTTTGTTAAGGAAAACAAATCTGATAATACCAAGTGATGGCAAATTGGTGAGAAAACAGAAATGCTTATTCCACTGTTTGTGGTGATGTTAACCTAGAGAATAATTTGACCATACCTAGTAAACTTGAAGTTGTCATGGCAGAACTCCACTAATTTCACTCCTGTGGGCCCTTTTTTGTATTATTAAAAATAAAAAAAAATAAACTTAATTTGTCCACCAACAGAGGAACAGCCAAATAAACCATGCTGTATTATTGAGACAGAATGTCATTCAGCTGTTAAAATACATAATCTAAAGCTATGAATCTTGTCACAGATGTGTCCTAAAAGTATAATGTGTAAAAAAGCAAATTTCAAATAGAATTGTAAAGTATTATACAATTTCAATAATTTTAAAACTCACAAAACAATACCATATGATGCCTGGAAACTGACGTAGGTAATAAAGATACTAAATTATGCATGGGAAGGCTAACCACCAACTTCAAGATAACATTTTCTTCTGGAAATGGATGGCAGTGGGTTAGGAGATGTGGGAAACTTTAAAGGAAATGTCTTATTTTCTAAACCTAAAAATATGTACACAGCCAAATGTTAATACTGGTTGAATCTGATTATTGGGTAATGTACAATTGTTTTATTCTTTTTGGTATAGGCAATATATTTTAAACTATTAAAAGTGAGCAAAATTGAAAAGAAAAACCAAATGATGTAGTAAGGTTGGATGGCATCATTCAAGGTCATTATTCTAACACCCCTTGGCACATGTGAGTCCACACACAGAGGAGGGTGCGCAGGCGACCTGGGCTGATGGTGGTCGGGACACCTGGAGTCACCTGTCCCAGGTGGTAAAGCCACTCCTACTAGCCACCTTGGTTCCTCCAAGAGAAGCATGCACTGCCTCTCCCAACTTCTCCCTCTTTTGTGTGCACAGGCTGGGATAAACAGAGCCTCTAGCCAGCCCTCACCTGCTGACTCCTAGCTCCCTCTCCCCTGCAGCCCTGCCTTTGGGGGATGGGAGTTGCGGGAGGAGCTGGGAGGCAGCATGAAAATGCCAACTCTCAGCCTCTGGCTCCCAGTTCAGGCTCAAATGCCCGCTTCCTGAACATCCCCTGCATGCTGGACAATGGATCAGAAAAACACCTCCATCACCGGTTGAAATGTCCCAGGTGAGGACCCCGGAGCTCAGAGAAGACTTGCCCACCATCATAGGAGGAGAGCCATATTGAAACCTGGAGATGTGTGGCTCCAAATCCATATTTCTTCCTTCTCTGTCTGTGCTTTGAATGTGACGATGGTATCCCTAATTATCTCTGTTCCCTCTGCACCCCTCCCCTGCACCAAGTCAGCCGCTAGGTGTGGGGGCAAGGGAGTAAGATCCAATTCTCCTCTGAGCACCTTCTGAATTCAAACAGGGCCCCCTGAAATCAACGGGTTTCTCCCTGGCCTCAGTCCTTCTGGGGGCCATGCCTCACCATCACTTAGCATTTGAGTCTGTCCACCATTTGCCCTGAAAAAAAATTAATTGCCAAAACCAAACAGCAAAAGAACAACTAGACTACCAGCCATGGCCGGCTTTGGCTGGATGAATCAGATGTGAGCGTGGCATGCCAGGTGAGTCAGAAACAGGAGCCACAACAGATGGCTCAGGCACCCCATTACTTCTGGGTGTCCCAGAGCCAAGGCTAAGGAATGCGCCTCACTTAGTCCTAACAGGGAATAGTCACTCGGAGGGCAGAAGAGCTAGAAAGCCACAGGTCAGAGAAAAGAGAGAACTAAAGAGAAAAAAGAAAGGTGAAATGACGGCTTGAAAAATCTAATAGCCTACCTCATTTATTTGTTCAAAAGAAAGGGGGTTGGTTTTCAGAATTCTACGATTGCTATAATACCTACAGGAAAAAGACCATTGCAAGTTAAATTCATTCTCATCCCCCTACACACACACAGGAGAGATAGGTTATGATTGATGATAGATAGATGGATGGATAGATAGATAGATAGATAGATAGATAGATAGATAGATGATTGAAAAATAGAGAGACAGAGAGAGAGAGAGAAACCCCTGGAGGGGTATGGCATCCTGTCATCCCTGGGCCTGATGCCCAGCAGGGCCCCTGGCACACAGTATGGCTGGAGTCTGGTTAAAGAAATGGGCTCTCTGACCAGCCTGTGTCCCACAGAGTCTGTGCAGGGCTCTGCAGTGAGCAGGAAGTCTCTTCGGTGCTGAGGGAAGAAAGCATGGGCAGTTCTGAAAAGTTGCCTAAGAACAGAATCTGCCAAGCCTGCTCTAGGAGGTGGCCTGGACTCCAAGGTCTGGGGCGGGGGCAGCAGATGAAGCTTGAGGGAAAGGCCCAGCTCCCCTCCCTGTGGCACCACTTTCCATGCCCTGCAGTGAGGGTCCCACTCCACCCCCAGCACTGAGAAGGGGCTCAGGGGCGCTAGAAAAGCACGGAATGTTTTTGTTTGTTTGTTTGTTTGTTTGTTTTACCAGAACCTAAGGCTCAAATCCATGGGAAAAAATGGTAGAGCATGCATTAAGCAAATATATTTCCCAAATTCTGAGAGAGTTCATACTGCTGTGTGGAATACTTACACTAGCTTTGTGTTTGAGGAGGCTTTTTAACCCTAAAAGCAGTGGCAGCATCCTGTGTTTGCAAACCCAAGAGCAAAACTTGGAGATAGATAAGGCTCAAAACAGGAGAACTTAACAAGTTAACTTAAAGAGAAAAGAAACATACTGGACACACATTAGGTTCTTTACAAAGATTCAGATAAAATTCAGAATAAAACCACATCACCTATTATTTCAGAGAGATGCTGTATCAATTCGCATTAGGTTTAACTACATTCGGTTAGAGAAAAGCATGATAACCATGGCTTAAGAAAGATAGATGTTCGTTACTCTCTTGTGAAAAACAAGCCTGCAAGAGATAATGCCAGGTCGGTATGGGATCCAGGTTCCTTTAATCTCTCTGCTCCACATTTCCCTTCAAGCCATTTTCAGTTCCTGGTCTAAGATGACTGCCAATGCTCCAGCCATCACATCATCACATTCATATCCTTGTCAGCAAAAAAGAAAAAAGCAAGGAGTGAAAAGGGGCTTTACAGAAGTTGCAGACACCACTTCTCTTTGCATCCCATGGACCCAAACTTAGTCATGTGGCCACACCCAGTTTTCAAGAGACGATGAGATATATTACTTTATCTGAGGCAGCCAGGTGCCTCGGCTAACAAATAATGATTTTGTGGCAAATAAAGAAGATATCAAAGAGAAAATTGGCAGTTTCTCTCACAAGTGTCTAACCCATGTGAATCCTGACTATGACAATTGTAGGCAAAATCCTTGTGTCCAGTGTGGGCAGAGCAGGTAAGAAGTCCCTCTGTGGCTCACCGCCCAGAGTAGGGCTTTTCCTCTCGGGTGAGCAATGATTGCTACTTGGGTCCAAGGAGGAAAAGGCTGTGTTCCAGGAAGTTCCAGGACCTTGCTCACAGCATCAAAAACCCTCCCTGCATTGCAGTGTAAACGTATCCCTTGGCCTCTTGGTCCAGGCCCGCTGCCTGGCCGCCTCAGCTTCCACACAGGGCCCTGGTGTGTTTCAGGCACCATTCACCCCAGCATCTATCTCAGGCCTGGCACACACAGTGAGCGCTCAAAGAAATGTTTGTGAAACTGGTGGATAAACCTCTACATTCACCTGCCTTTTGCAAGTGACTATTTCTCATGTGTGTGTAAACATTTTTTAAATATTACTGAATTCATAAATTTATAACTTCTTTCCATGTGTATTTTCTTAGTGATTTTCTAAGTGTGTGTGTGCATCAAGTTGTGGAGGGTTGGCAGGCAACAGCGTCAGATTCTTGGGCTATTCTGCCTGGGTTTGAATCCTTAATCTGCCACGTGTTTGCTGTGTGACCTTGAGAAAGATACTTAACTTCTCTGTGTCTTGGTTTCCTCGTTTGTAATATATGATTATCAAATGGTATACTTTTGCTCCGAGAGAGTGTCATGAAAATTTAATGAATTAACAATGACATTTTGTAAATTGTGTGTGTATCACTTTGAACAGTGGTCAGCACAGAGGCTTAAGTAAAATAAAACATTTGCAAAATCTCGTTTTTGTAATGTCATAAAGAGATTCTCCTCCTGAACAAAGCTAGAAAGCTGTGGCCTGGCCTAGAGGATTTTCAATTTGGCAACTCTTCAGGTTCAAGCATTTCTTAAAATGACCCCACTCCCAAGAGCAAGTCAGCTTCTCATCACCAAAGACAGTTTCTGGTAAGTCTCCTGGGTGTCCCATCTAGATTAGCGTTTCAGTGGCTCTATGAAAAGAGAATCTCCCCACCCACACATACACCTCACCCCCCATTGTCTCCACTGATGAGCCTAGGCAGGGACTCACTATATTTCTCGCTCCAAACCCTCCACCTGCCGACAACTCTGCTCGTAGCATCCCAGCCGCTGGCCATGTTGCAAGCAGAGACCAATTCCCTTTGATGCCCAAGACCAGACGAGGTCCATATGAGCCTCTCAAACAAAGCCTCCACTTTGTTTCTAAACAACTTAAGAAGAATTAAAGGGGAAATAAGAACCTTATTTTCTCAGGCTCCTTTGCCTGCTCACACAGAGAGAAAAGCCCAAGGCCCAGCGAAGGACCCAAAAAGACAGAGAGAGGCAGACTTTGGGAAGGAGACAGGAGCCCGCGATGCAGAATGGCTGCAAAGCTTTGAATACTTCCTAAAGGGTGGGGGTGGGGGATCCGTGATCTTTATCTAATCAGACAGTCTACCCAGGAAGTCCCTGAGATCAAAGCAAGGGGCTTTTTATTTAGCCCTGTGTCAACTTAAAAACAGCCCTGGCAAAGCCACAGATCTGGACAAGCTCACACCTCTCCCCACCCCCATGGCCCTGACCTGTCTCTCCCATCTGAACCCCCTTAACATTCCATTTGGAATAAAACCCTGGATGAAAAGAGTCCCCAGGATTACTGTAGGAAGAGACAACATATGACAGCAAGGCAGGAAACTTGGCAAAGCCTGTTTTTTGCTGACATCCTAGAACAGCTAGGTGTATGCTCTGGGATGGGTGCCACCATCTTCATGTCTCCGAGTAGATGCCCATCACCAACTATTCCCCAGGACCAAAGGAGTCCCCAGGAGGAAGGTACACAGACACTTCCCCCAACCTTCTAGACATTGTATCGAACAATTCAGAGCAAAAGCAGGCAGTATGAGGGAGCAACTGGACCGTGATGTGACATGATGAGAGACAGAGACCAAGAAAGCAAAGATATAGTCCCTGGATCATCTTAGGCTCAAAGAATGGGATGGTGAGCAGAGATAGGGGGGTGCATATAAAGCAGGAGAAACACAAAGGCTGTCCTGTTGAAGAAAAGACAGGTGCTGAAGGAATTGGGGACTGGTTCAAGAAAAGGAGGTCACTCTTTGGAAATTCAGTGGCTCAAGGGTCTCAAGGCAGGAAACTCAGAATCACACTACAAGGGTAGAAAGAGCTCATGTTACAGGAAATATATATATATATTAGAGGCCCATTGCACAAAGATTTGTGCAAATAGGCCTTCCTTCTTCTGGCTTCCAGCACTGGTTTTCCTCCAGCACTCAGAACCCAGGCCTTTGCTCAGGCTGCAGCAGAGAAGCCAAACCTTGAGGCTAGGCTTCTACACTCCTGCTGCAGTCTTCAGTCTTCAGTCTTCTTTCTGTGCCTGTGTATGCAAATTAACCCAACATGTTGGTTGGGTTAATTTGTATACTCACTCCTGAGTGGCTGGTGGTTGACACAGAGGTATGGTCAATTTGCATTTTTCTCTTTTTTAGTGTAGATACTATACATCCCCCCTATAAGAAAGTTCCCCCTCTTTAGAGAAAGCTTAGCATCATTTCTCTCCCAATGCAGTTCATTCCTCCCATATTTTTCTTCCAAAAATCATATAGGGCTTCCTCAATATGATGCTCTTCCTAAGAAACTATGACTTCTTTGTCATTTACTTCATTAGGCATTTAAAACACATATCCTCTTACTTAATCTTTATAAGTACTTTAGAACTCACATTTGATGAACTGGGTTCATCAGTTTGGATGATTTTTCTTATTCATGCCATGGATTATTCTTGAAGTTGATTGGTAAAAGAAAATGTTAAGGGTATTTAACATTCACCTTGAATGAAGATCTTGGACCTTGTTCTTCAACCCTGAAAGTTTGGCATAGAGGCTTCCTTATGGCAAAATAGACAACTGTTTTTCTGTCCTATACTTCAAACAAATACTGTATTTTTTAGTAGCCAAATCTATGAGAATTACACTATTTATTGTGATTTTTTCTGGATTTCTATGTAGTCAGTTCATCACTTTTAAGATGTGTTTTTCTCTAAGAAATGTTGTCTTCCTTCAAATGAGGACAACAAATTACACGAAGAGGAATTATAATTCTAATCCAAGAAACATTGGAAGTAATTGTTGATGTTCTATAGGAAAGCACTTTCACTTCTAGGTACCATCCTAGGCTCTGGCTGTGAAATCACCTTTACTAGGACTCCCTAATGTTATATGGCCCTTTACAAAGCATATCCCCATGGGACCTCTGACTTTCAAAGCTCCAAAGGTAAGGAAATGGACGTAGAGAGCAATTAAGTAGCTCTGCTTAAAAATACTGAAAATACCTTTTTATCTGTAAGACATAACTAACTGTGAGATGTGCTTTGAAAATACAACTTATAGCTCCAGGACTTAGCAAGCCTTAAACTGAGGAGGGACCCATACGTGTGAAAGAGGGTCATGCCCTGGAGTATTAGCAGGAATGTAGGATTTAAATTTGCATCTAATAACTCTCCCAAATGAGTGGGTGTTAATAGTGATTGGAGGGGAGCCTTTGGGAAGGAACTAAACTACGCTTCGATCGGCTTTCATTATGCTCTAATCACGATCGATCGTCTCTCTGAAATGTTATGGGAGCTCATGCTCCACAGAAAAGGCGAAATGATGGAGGTCATGACCTCTTCACATTTTCTTCCATTTCTCAGGGCTGGTACCGGCAGGTGGCAGAAATGGCATCCAATACCTCAGTAGAAGATATTAAATATATAGATAATAGATATTAGCTCCGTATAAAGCCGAAAGCACACTTAGAAATAACCTAGCTGAAGTTTCCTATTTCCCAAATGAGTAAAGCATAGGGCGGGGGAGGAGATACAAAAAACCTTGCTAATGCAGCTGAAGAAAAATACAGGGACTCTGAGCTCTGATGATCACCTGTTAACACCATTTGGTCAGAAGATACTTCATTTTCTGCTGCTGCTTCTCTTGGTGGTCAGTTATTTCTTTCTTGCTGATCATAAAAACAAAATGAAACAAATCCGAATGTTTCTTTTAATTTTGCACCAGTGTTCCAGCCCCAGAACTTCTGGATGCAAAGAACAAAGAGCCACTCCACCTGTGACCACCAGGGGGTGCCCACAAGACAGTCTGACAAATGGGGGGTGACCCTGGAGAGTCTCCCTTCTCATGGGAAACACATGTGATACCACAACTGAGACTATTATCTTTTGTTCTTAGCAAGGGGTTAGAGGTCTCAGGTCCCTTCTGAAGAGCGAGGTTGCACATCTGTCCTGGGAAAGAAAATCTGCAACACATGCAAGCCTCGTGGGTAAGATGTATTTGTTTAGAGCTCTCGCTTGCTCCTCTGATGTCTGTCTCCATAAATAAAATCGGGAAAATCCTGTCGCTTTGATTTCCATACAAAGCAGAAGAGAGTTGTGATTAGATGTCGTGAGAGGGCTCACAATTTTTGCTGCAGGAAAGATGGGGGAGGGGGGTTATGCAACTTACCCCTGCCCAAGCTGTTTCCTGGAACAGCCATCTGGTTGCCTACAAAGATTTGACCATGGACAAAACCCCTCTGCTTCAGAGACAAAGTTCCCTTCAGGAGAAAGGCAGATCCAAAATGCCCAACTCTTCAGTGAATTCCACCTACATCAAAAAACTGACATGTGAGCAATAGGTACTCCTTCCTCTTTCCCATTTGAAGACCTGGGTTCATGGGGGGAGGG